TGATCGGTGCCCGGGCCCGCGTCGCCCCGACCACACTATAAACGCTGATGCGATGTTTTCCGGCAGGCATCCCGCGGTCTTGATTATTTATAACTACTAGATATTTCAATTTAAATTTATAATTTTTATTTTTCAGCTTTTTTTAGAGATTTAATTTAGGTTGTAGGAGGAGGTGTGTGTGAGAAGGGGCTAGGTGTGGTGGATTGTGTGGCATAAATCGTAGATACGGTAAAGACCTCGTTCACTTACGCCCTGCCACTTATCGCCGCCAGCTTACATTCACATACACACAGCACGCGCGCACATACAACGCGACGCGCCGCACGTCACAGCCGTGCGGCACGCACGACATGCACGCACGCGACCGCACACACCACGCACTCACACACACACACACACACACACACACACAACCCCCCCCAACACCCACACACTACAACATCTGATAATATATTATCTTAAATGAAAAAAAAGTTTTACAATTGTGGTTAAACAACATTTTTTACATTGTGCGGCTGACCATGTTATGGACATTTGTGGTTATTTTTTACATTTGTTGTTGACTATGAATTATGATATTTGTGGTTTTTTTACATTTGTGGTTTGATTTTTACATTTGTGGGCCGCACAGCACAGGTCATTGATATATATTTAAAGAAGGGTCTATACAGTCTGATTGACGCCCGGCATCAAGTGAGGAGGGCAGGAATCTCAACCGCTATACTAGTATATACCGACTACTAGTACTTACTATATAGCCAAACAATTAAAAATTAAAATAATAAAATTAAAATTAAAAATTAATAATTAAAATTAAAATTAAAAATTAAAATTTAAATTTAAATTAAATTTAAATTAAAGGTGTTAAATTAAATTAAATTAAAAATTAAAATGATTAATTATTAACTTAATTAATTAATTAAATATCTAGGACTATAAGATCGATACCCTCATTCCCCTGTTGGGTTTTCGACTAGTGGGCTTTCGGACTAGGTGGGGTTCTTCGGACCTAGTGGGGCTTTTCGGCTATTGCTATTGGGCCGTCGGACTAGCGAGCAGTCACCATTAATACTAATAGGACTGATGCTTAAAAATGACAAATTATTAGTATTACTCATGGATCCTCTTCAGTCTTCAGGTGTACCGGCCATACTCAGTTACTTTAAACTTATTGAAGTTACTCTACTTTCTCAGTTTTTGCTTTTTCAGCTTTCGTCTAATTATAATTAAATAAGTTAAGCCTGTACTTATTTATGCATAAGATATATGACGCATAACTTACGCCTTCTTTATATCTGTGTTGCTTGCACATCGTTTTAGCCCAAGGCATACATAATAATCCAGAATGCCCATTGCTAGAACACTATTACAAACTATCCTATCCTAAGTTAGTACGTGTGATTATTTGTTTGTAAATAAATGGCGGAATGTATAGCGATAGCAACGGGCGCGTAAGAAAAGTAGCAAATGATTCGGATCCGTTTAAAGACTTTAAATACCAAAAGGCACAGAAAAACACCTAAAATACAACAGGCGCTAAAAAATAGTGTAAGACATCAGAAGTCATAGAAATCTTGTCTCTCTCCCTCTTGCTTCCTCTTTCTTTCTCTGCCGCTCGCCTATCGACGTATCGTTGGGGATTCGTTGCCATGCAGTGACCACAGCCACGGCCCACAGGCACAGGCACTTGGAAGTTGGAGCGTTTCAATAAAATATAATGCTAAATAAATACGAAATTTATTTACTACCAAAGTCTTAATGTTTCTCTACTCTATTTGCCTATTATTGCCGATAATTAGTAAATTACCCTTAAATGCCGGTCAAATGCTCATCTGCAACGCACAAGAAGGCCCTACACCGCACGCCTGTTGTTAGCTCTAGTACTATAGCCGCTTACATTAACTGCCGCTGGCCGCAGGCTATAGTACTAGAGCTAGCCTGTTGGGTGCCCGCCCTGTGCACAAACAACATGAATAAGAGAGTTACTAAAGTGTAGGATGGGAATTTAACGGCCAAACCTTCACCAATCTTATCCAGTAAATGTTGTTATGTATAGGTACTGTAATTATTTTAATTCCACTCTACGTTAAATACGTTTTAGAGTGTAATAGTATCTTTAATAATGCAGTTTACGGTTACACATAACATACAATGTGCGCATATGAATTATTACTACCGATAGATGGCGCGAGGATGTCATTTGATCATAATCGCTGCTACATTATTGAAATACATACATCGAAGTGTAGGATGGGAATTTCACGGCCAAACCTTTACCAATCTTATCCAGTAAATGTTGCTCTGTATAGGTAGTGTAATTATATTAATTCCACTCTACGTTAAATACGTTTTAGAGTATTATAATACTTTTAATAATGCATTTCACTGTTACATATAACATACAATGTGCGTATATGAATTATTTCTAACGATAGATGGCGGGAGGATGCCATATTTGACGTGACAATGATATCGCCTCTGTGCTCGAACTGCGCGTGCACACCAGTCGGTTCCATTACAGTAGTCGGTTCACGAGTTGTACGTTCGCTCTTAACTCTAGTACTATAGCTGATAGGGTCTATGTCCCCCAGGGTACTGCCGGAACGTACCCTGGGTACGGTCCGGTATACCGGAACGTACTCTGGTACTAAATACTACTATCTAATATGCCGGACCGTACCTCGCCTACTCCACTAACGAGTCTAGGGAGTCGCCTACGCCTACTCCCTAACCCTAACCCTAACCCTAATTAGAATCATAGGCATGATTCTAATAGACCAACATAGTAACACAGGTTTTTCCAGGACCATCTAAAAAAATGTTGTCGTAAAAACTTTTGTGGGAGGGTGGGGGAGGCGATTACGCACAGGATACAAATCTCGATTTTTTCCCTCATGCTTTCTAAAATAAATATGGGCGTTACCAACTTTGAAAAAAGGGGTTAGAAAATCTTTATCAATTCTGGTGAAGGGTTAAAAAATTTGTTAATTACATTTGACTAAGTTAAGGAGAATGGGGAAAGATACAGTCGACAAAAAATTTAACCCTTTTAAAATGAAGGAGTTAAAAATAAGAGCACCGAGTTACAGCTACATGTCTACTAACCTTATAAACGGTTATATAGGATATGGGAAATTTTCTTATACCCCTCCTAACAATTGAGAGGATGTATCGATTTTCATGATCTGATTTTTTACAGGATTACGTAGTTTTCGACGAGGAAGACAAAATTAGCTCCGAGACCCCCCGGGAAAGTTATGACCCCCTAAACACCCACTTACTGTTAGAATCATGGTGGCCTCTAGTAACATTGGCTTAAACGGCTATAACTTTGGAAATATAGACTGCTCCAACTTAATTTTTTCAGAGTAGGGGGGTATCGATCCTCTGCAAAATTCGAGTCTCTACGTCATTTCCTTCCTAGGTGGCGCGACGATCAAAAATTGTCTTGAGCGGGAAATTTGGATTCAAACGGTGGGGGTTTGAGTCTGCATCGTGCTGTGCTCAAAACATTACTTGTCCAATCTGGCCGTTTCATTTTTGCGTCTGGCAATGTACGACACGTTATGGTACGGCACGTGGTTGTGACGTCATTTCCGGTTAACAAATGTGCTGTCGAAAGCTGAAAAATTAAAATTTGGCCTTTCCCTAACCCTAACCCTTTACTGCACCGCTTGATGATGACGTCACCACTACTTTTTTTGTAGTCATCGAGATCACCGACAATATTGTAAATATGATCAGCTATATTGATATGATATCTGATATTGTTTCAGCTATCTCTTTTAGATCTCATGATATCGACGACCCCCTAAAATAACACAAAATTGGCAAAATTTAGACTGTCCGGACGTATTTTCCAGTTTTTTCCGAATAACTCCTTACCCAAGCCATGTACGGTATAATCACGCCAGATACGTTTCGTTACTCGTACCGAGCTGAACATTTTGACACCGGTCATTGTTAGCCACGCCCACCGAAATCCAAAGTTTTTCACCTAAATTTGTTTTTTCTAACATTGCCTTATTTAGAGCGCCGTATCTCCTGGACGGAACATCACAATCAACTACTGTTTGTTTTCCCCGGTGAGGGGCATCCCCCCTTCCTACCTCTTACATTGTTTCGTCCGGATTGAACGTACCGTTTTCTCCAATTTAAGCAACAACAACAAAAATACTAATAAACCTTAACGCTCGTTTCTTCAGAAATTCAAGGTTCTTAAACGATCGGTCCCGGTCTTTTTTAGGGGGGTCTTCCCTCTGCACATTGCCAAAATTTCAGCTTTTTAGCTCCTTCGATATTGGCGTGACGAGCGATTGAACAGACCCTAGTTGCGCACGTTTTCAGTGTTTTTTTGGAGTTTTGAGGTCTGAGTAGGTACGACGCTTCCGCTTAAAACTCCACGTTTCCGGTTGCTGTGCTAATCCCGTTTTTGTGTGCTTACGTGGGATAGATGCCTAGTGCTTTCCTGTAAGTTTGGCTACTTTTGATCATTCCGTTCAAATGATGATGTCTAAAACGTCGGATTTTCGCAAAAAGTTGCATAATCGATCATAAATCGATAACCCATTGATCATCAATAATTTCAATTTTTTTACAAGGGTTAGGATTTTTCAGGGGGGTCGCGCCTAGTGTCAGCGTTTTGAGGGTGGGGGTCGGACACCAGTTTTGGCTTTAGGGTTATGT